TTGAGTGAGTCTGGCATCCCCACTGAGTTTGCTTGCCAGAAGGTCGCAAAAGATGATCACATGACCGCAGGATACTGCAACGGTCATAAATGTGAATCAGTTGTCAAGCATCCAAATGTAAACCACGTGACCATGGGGATGCTGCAATGGTCATAAGTGTGAAAAACAGTCATAAGGTTTTTTCCCAGGGCCATTGTAACTCCGAACGGTCACTAAATGAACTGTTGTAAGTCGAGGGCTACCTGTATTTTTCTCCTTTATTATTTACATTTATTTTAAAAATCTGAGCAGATAAGTTTTGGAAAGATAAACAAGTATCAGGCATTAAAATTCAAGGAAAATATAAATTAAAATACTACATGGAAGATATACAGTGGTGGCATTCAGCCGGTTCAGACCGGTTCAAGTGAACTGGTAGTGGTGACCTGCGGGTGGGGCTGCCTACCCGCAACGGCGCTATGCTGTCCTATTTAGCCACATTTTCTAAGCCACCCGCAGGCGTGAAAGCCGCGCGCTCTTAAATTTTTGGTGCATGGCGAACTGGTGGTAAACTTACGTGAAACCCACCTCTGTAACCACAGTATTGATTTTAAAAAATGTCATAAACACAGTTGTACTGTCAACACCAGTAGTTGCAGGGGTGAAATCCAGCAGGTTCTGGAGAACCAGCAAATACTACCTCTGGCTGGCCCCAGAATGGGGGGGGGAATGGGGATTTTGCAATATCCTTCCCCTGGAGTGAGGTGGGAATGAAGATGTTGCAATATCCTTCCCCTTCCATGCCCACCAAGCCACGCCGATCAAGCCACACCATGCCCACCAAGCCACGGCCATAGAACTGGTAGTAAAAAAATTTGGATTTCACCACTGAGTAGTTAGTTTATAGTTGATTTTTAAAAATGTCATAAACAGTTCTGCTGTCAACACCAATATTTGGTTTATTTGTTTCATTGTCCTACAAGAGAGGAAAATATATGGTGATTGGAATAAGAGAATTTAAGGTAATAATTGGGGATTGTATGATGCTGTATGAATTTAAATTTAGGGGTTCAAATTTTAAGGAGGGAAAAGAAAAAATGAACTATATTAGGATGAGAAGTTAACATGAAGGGTAATATTGGTTTCTTAGAATTAGAGAGAATAAATGATATGAGAAAATTTATATATAAAATTGTGTTAAAATTGTGTTAAAGATGAACAAAAATCTGTATAAATCTAAAACTGGGCCAATATTCTGTTCAGAAAAGATGCATTGTATGTTTGTTTGTGTGTTTAAAAAATAAAAAAACTTTATTAAAAAAAAAAGAGAGAGGAAAGTCTACAGGTAACCAGTTCATAAGACTTAATCAAAATTTGGTTGCGTCACATGTGGCCTTTTAAAACCTATTTGTTTTCCCAAGTGTGTATAAATAAAAATATAAATGCAACTACTAAGTGTTTGGAAACATGGATATCTCATCATTATGTTGGTTAGAGAACTTTATCGGGGCACTATTTCTTTTATTGTGTTGTAGGTGGCCAAGCTCTGGTTGTAACAATGAAGGAATAGATGAAGTAACTTGGGTTTGGAACCCCCGTCTTAGTCTTATCTTGAAAGAATCATTTGGTGGAACAAAACCTGGAAAATGTAATCTCCACTAAATTGAGGCAGCAAGTGAAGACAGGTGAAAATTGTGGAGGCCAAAGCTTTCTCAGGAAATTCAGAACTGAAGTATACATTTATGTGAAGTTTGAAGTTTAAATAACAGAATGTCTGTCTAGGCAATTTCCTAGCTATTTTCCAGAGAAGAAAGAAAAACCAAAGGCAATCGGTTGCTGTGTAAATTCAAAAACAAAACTATAAGTAACAAACTGAAATAAGCAATTGTCAGTAGGAAAAATTAACATTTTGACAAGCAGTGAGCAAATGTAATTTAAACAGAAGGAGGAAATAGCAACGTTTTCTTTATTTTCCTCTCGAAGATCATTATTTACCAAATGGCATGTGTTTTTGCTAACATTTGCAAAACAGTGGGCAGGTTTCTGCTAAGATAATTTGTCAAAGAAACATACAGGCCATATGGAGCTGAAGGGATAATTGTGTAGGCCAGCGAACACAAACCAAAATAAGTTGATATTGCCAGAAGAGAGATCCTGGTTGATTTCTTTATGGAGCTTTGAACCCTAAATGTAGATACAGCATTTAATAAGCTCAAGTATGATATAGTTGTACTTTTTCCCTTTTCAAAGCCATATGTAAGATGGCAAAACTCAACATAGTTATAGCACAATATACCGTATTTTTCAGAGTATAAGACGCACCGGAGTATAAGACGCACCTACCTTTTTTGGTGAGGAAAAGAAGAAAAAGAAATCTTCCTCTGCCTCAGCAATTTTGCCTCGTTGCAGCAAACAGCAAACAGCCTGCTTTCCTTTCATTTTCATTTTCAGCATAGCTTGATTAGCACAAGGAAAAAAAATCTGCTCCAGCAATTTACCTCTTTGCAGCAAGCAGCAGAGTCCTGCGCAAAACAGCTGAGTGCAAATCAGCTGAGAGTCGGGAGACCGATCCAATCAATTTATGCTAACTAAGCTGTGCTGAAGCTGAAAGGAACTGTTTTTCCTTGCTGTTTGCTTGCAAGGAGGTAACTGCTGAGAGGCAGAGGCCAAAGAGTGGGGGCTAGTGGGTGGACGGGGCTACATTCGGTGTATAAAACGCACCTAAATTTTCACCCCCTTTTTGGAGGGAAAAAGGTGCATCTTATACTCCAAAAAATATGGTAGCACTAATTCAGAAGTATCAAAAGTGAAAAGGACCATGCATCCCTAAGTTAGGGATACCAGAGAGCAGCATGTCTTCCACTTTTCAAACAAAATTGACTGTATTTCTAAAACCTTCCTGGATCAGGAAGGAGTGAGGGCAGTTATGATTTATTGAGAAAGACAATCTACCAATTGCATAGCAAGCAGAAATGCAAGGGATACAGTTGTTTCTGTCTACATGGTTGAATAATGCATAATTTTATACGGCAGAAAGAATGTATGGACAGAGAATCAGTAGAATTAGGAGGTTAACTTTTCTAAGAACGCTTTCTCAAGGTACTATTTATGTGAAAGGAAAACAAAGATAAACTTTATTTAGGAAATAACCTGGTGACAGGAAAGGCTATGTCGCTTAGGTCTGTTGTATCTCCAGTTAAGAGCCTGTGGTGTGATCTCTTCCTTAAGGAGAGAGAATGAGTCAGGTAAGTATCTGAACTGCACCTGTTAGGGATAGAGGAGAAAAGAAGATTGAACTGAGAATGAAAGGAAGAGATGAAAGAGATTCAGAATGTCACAAGTAATGTACAAGCAAACAAAGTAAGTCTGTTTGACAAGGAAAGGAGATCACTACTAACCACCTTTCTACTAACCTCTCTACATCCGTTGCTTCTTGGTGCATGCCAAGTTGAATTCTACCATTGATGGACAAAAACCTTATAATAACAACAGCAAAATTGCACAGTATTATTTGACTCCTGATACCAAGCTTTGAATATCATAGATGGTGGTCAGTGCAACTTTAGGTGATGGCCAGAAAACATTGGTGTCACAAGAAAATAGTATTAAAGATTGCTATGAAGAACCAGTTGTGGTAATACAAATAGTCCTTAATTTACAACTGAGTGACCTTTCGAAAGGTCACATTTAGTGATGACACTGAAAAAAATGACATGACCATTTTTCACATTTGTGACCGTTGTAGAATCCCCATGGCCATGTGATCAAAATCCAGATGCTTGGCAACTGACTCATATTTATGACGGTTGCAGTGTCCTCAGGTCAGGGGATCCCCTTTTATTATCTTCCGACAAGCAAAGTCAATAGGGAAGCCAGATTCACTTAACAACCATGTTACTAACTTAACAGTCACAGTTGATCCACTTAACAAATGTGATAAAACTCACTTAACATTTCTCATTTAGCAACAGAAATTTTGGGCTGAATTGTGGTCGTAAGTAAGTCAAGGACTACCTGTACTAGTGGAGAAATGAAGGTTGTCAGGTTTGTTTAGTTTATCCAGATCTGTTGTGACCCATCGGCTGCCAGCAGAGCTAGCAGCAGAGTCAGATGAGGAGGAGGTTGAGGGGGAGCCTGGGCCGGCTTCAGAGCCTTCCTCTGAGAAGGAAACAGCATCAGAGACAGTGGCAGAGCTGGGGCCTTCCATCCTCCCCCAGGGGGGGTGTCTTCAGGGCCTGAGCTGAGTGAGGGGGAGGAACAGTTGGGGCCCATCCCAGATGCATGTATGCGCAGAGTGGAAAGGAGAGAAGAGCATAGGAAAATAATAAGATGGCTCTCAAGGAAAAGCAGGCGTGAACGCTAGCCAGCCCCTCCCTGGCTAGGAAATAAATAGTAGGGGTTTGGGAGTGGCAAGTTGTCGCAGACAACCATTCGTTTTTAGGATACAGCAAGCAATTCGGATTTCTAGGCCAGAACCAGGTCTGTTGGGACTAATTATGTTAGGTTTTTTGTTTATCCACATGAATAAAAGACTGTTCCTACCCCAGGAGTGTCAAACTCAATTTCATTGAGGGCCGCATCAAGGTTGTGTTTAACCTCGGGGGGGGGGCAAGTGTGTGTGGCCAGGGTGAGCCAGCTCAACGTCCTGCAGTCCTCTGCCAGCGAAAACAGGGCCCAGGAGGCTGCGCCCAGCCCTCCAGGGCTCCGTTTTCGCTGGCAAAGGGCTGCAGGAGGCCGTTGCAGCCGAAAATGGAGCTCCGTTTTCACTAGCAGAGGCACCGTTGTCTGGTCCTCCGCTGTTTCCAGGGTGGCCCCATGGGCCAGTTCTAAGCACCCTGAAGGCCGTATTTGGCCTGCAGGCCTTGAGTTTGACACCCATGTCCTACCATGTTTGTTTTACTTGCAAGTAAGTGGCTTATCATTGCTTGCTAAGGCTGGGTCAGAACAAGACCCGGGGTACAGATAGGAAATGGAGGCTGCTTGTTTTACCTTTCAACTTTTTTTCCCTTTCAACTCTGCAGGTGAGTCCCACCCCAGGATGCATCCGGGCATTAATGAAGATGCTGTACTGCCCTTATTGCCGAGGACTGCCCACTGTGAAACCTTGCAATAACTACTGCCTCAATGTAATGAAGGGCTGCCTTGCAAACCAAGCAGATCTGGATACCGAATGGAATCTCTTCGTAGGTAAGGATGGGGTGAACGCAGGGAGGTGAGCAAAGTAACCTGTCAAACTTTCTGACGGAGTTCAAACAGCATTTGTCAAGTATAAAATAGGACGTGTTGACAGAATGCCTTCATTCAGTTGTCATTCACATGCTTTGATCAAAGTTTCTGTGTGGCTCCACCTGGGAGCTATTTTCATGAAATCTCTCTTTGTGGGATGTTGAAGTCCGTAAGCAAAATTCCACTCGGTTGGTGTGAAGCATGCTGAAAGATGAAGGCTGCATTTCTGATTCCATAGGAGACAGAGGGACAAGGTGGCGGGAGGGGAGGAAGAGAGCGACAAAGACTAAATCCTGTGCATTTCATATTAAATTTTCATGTTCGTCTGCCAGATGCAAGAATAAAGACTGAATATAGTCCTTCCTTCTTTGCTTAAATCCAGCGTGATTGCAAATTGGCGAAAAGCCATTATTGTGACAGGCCAAAAAAAATCTGTTAAGGCAACTTTAAAAATATTCCAGAGTGGCTCCTTCTAGGCAAGGAGAAGAATGGATCTCACTTCCATTTCAGACAGTTGCATGATCTGCTGTAATTCACAGAACAATTTGGAAAGGCATTCCCAAAAGATATGAAATTTACCAATTATCCAAAGATCCTGGATGCAACAGAATGTAATCACAATATGACAAAAGATTTAAAAAGGAAGAAAAAGGATGCGATGAATGTGCCCTTCACTCAACTACACGCATCTCTATTCCCGGCACATTTTTTTTTAAAAAAAAAAACTACTTGTGAAACAAAGTTTTCCATTCTAAAGAAATCTCAAATGGCTAAGCAGTTTTGATTAGTTTCCACTCCCTTTCAGAGACATAAATAAAAATTAATTCTCTTGAAGTGTCTACCTAATCTTTTTTTTCTTCTTTTTCCAGTAGCTTGGAATGAAATAAATATACAATAATAAGCAATGCAGCAGAAAGAAATACACATATACACACACGTACCAAAATATGTAGCACAGGAGAATTTTTTTAGACTAGAAAAAAACCCCCTAAGAATATGATCTTACATATTTAGGAATCATTGAGGGCTCAAAAAAAGAAGTAAGAGAAACATTGATAATAATAAGGAAAACACAAAAAATGAGGAAGAATAATGAGGAAACACAAAGAGGATTTAGAACAGTTAATATTTACAATGAGGATTTTTTAATGAGGAAACACAAAGAGGATTTAGGACAAGTAATATTTACAATGAGGATTTTTAAAAAATGCGTATAATTATTTGATTTTTAGGCCACCTGTCACTGAACTCTGTCAGCAATGTACACAACTTCTTTACATTCTCAGTTATTCTCAGGTGAACCATTTTGAACTTCCAATAAATCAAGAATTTGCAGAGCAGCGTGTTCCCACTTCCAGTCCCAATTACCACAGTTAAGCAAGGATTATCTATTCAGGTATTTCTCGATTTACAGCCTCAATTGAGCTCCAAATTTCTGTTGCTAAGTGAGGAAGTTATTAAGTGAGTTTTGCCCCATTTTACAACCTTTCTTGCGCTGCAATTATTAAGTGTTTCCTGCAGTCATTAAGTGAATGTGGCTTTGTCTATTGACTTTACTTGTCAGCTTATAGTTCTCTATCCTTTTATAGGAATGTAATATGGATAATAAGCAGACCTACTGGTTAAATAAAAAAAAAATGTTAATAAGCAAGGTATAATCATTTTTAAAATTTATTTAAAGGTACCTGTTGCAGTTAATTTGAAAAAAATGTCTATAGGGTGTCAATCATGTGAGATCAGTATATGGATTTATTATCGATTGGATAAGGGCCAATAAACCGATGCTGAATATACAGCATATGTTTCCAGTTCAACACAGATGATTCTGAGTTTCCTGAAGTGGTTGTAGGTTTGTTCTACTAACAGGGAAATTAAAATTGGTTTTAGACTAGAGAGTATTCCTTGGTCCACTGAACATTACCGGGATCTCAATACTCGTCTTATAGTAGCTATTCATTCTTAAAGAGGAAACCATTTCTGCAAACAGATTAGTACACAGAAAAGACCCTGGTGGGTTATTTTATGAATGCTCTGCCTTTTATTGCTATAACTGATGCAACTGCACTATTTTGTTTTCTAATACATTAGGATTTTTGCATTTTATGTATCTTCCCAGAGTCATGTGATGGAAGACAGCATGTAAATATTGTCAGTACAGGTCAATAAATCTTCAAATGTTGGAAAGATATAAAATTCTCCAAACCAAACTTGGTTATAATCTTGAAAAGGCTAAACAAGATTAGGTCTGTTAATGGTTAAGATGACCAAGAATATCAGGAGAGAGTAGAAAAAGATAAAAGCAAACTAATTTGTGGGGTCCTTGGTGTTCTCTGAGTTTGATGTTTTATTGCAGTTTTCATTACCCAACCAAGTACACCAGGGGTGTCAAACTCAATTTCATTGAGGGCCGCATCAGGGTTGTGTTTGACCTCGGGGGGGAGGGGTCTGGAGGGGCGTGGCCAGGGGGGGCATGGCCAGCTTGATATCACTCATGTTGGAGGTGCCTTTGGCGGCCTGAGGGCTCTGCCAGTGAAAATGGGCTCCCGAGCTCCGTTTCCAGCTGTGATGGCCTCCTGCAACTCTCTGCCAGGGAAAATGGATTTATGTATGTAGGGCCACATGTGGCCCTCCCATTTTCCTGGCAGAGGCACCACAGACTGGTCCTTCGCTGTTTCCAGGGTAGCCCTGCCAGCCAGATCTAAGCACCCCGCAGGCCGGGCCTTGAGTTTGACACCCCTGAGGTACAGTATCAACCCCACATCCTTGTAGCACTGATGATACAGGTTGGGAAATGAAAGAATCTGCAAGAAAACAACCAAGTTCAGAGAGCACCAAGGACCCCACAGTTCAACCCTGAGCAACAAATATGCTCTTCTACTGCAAAACTACTTTCCTATAATTCCAAAGAAACATCCACATGACCAAGTAATCATCCGAAGTTGTGGTTAATTTAAGGGAGACTTTGCACGCTACTAGGGTAAAGATGGCAATTATGGCAATATTGTCTAGTTATTTGAGGAATTAAATTTTGTTTGATCATACTTTCCGACATTACTAGCAACTTTGTGAAAAAAATCTCAAAACTGTAAGAAGTCTATTTCTTGTTAGGAAACAAATGTCAAAAATGTCTCCTTCTAATAATAAAGTTTCTATGCGTTTTCCTCATACGCACTAACTGAACTAAAATGAAGACTGTACAGCACTATTGAGCTATGAATAATTGGTTGGGATTTGCTTCTGAAGTTCGTGTTGGAAACTAGGCACAAGGGGAGGTGTATTAATTGTGCTTATGGAAAGGTGGTAATCTTTCTTCTCCCACTCAGTTCAAGCAAGACTTTTATTTACTTCTGCTTCATTGTATGTGCCAAGGCCTAACAGGTGGTAACTATCCTGAATTTTTGTAGATAGCTTTCATTTAATTATTGGCAGAGATTGATCACTGAGAAAACAAATAGTATCGTACAGTCTTATAAGACTATCCAAGCCCCCCCCCCCTTTTATATTTTCTGTATACAGAAAATGCAGAGTTCATACTGCTGCTGGCAAGTGGGTTCTCAGCTTCATCTTGTTTATTTCTTTGTTAACCACTAGACCAAACTGACTCTCTAACATCTTAACTATGAGACCACATTGGCTGTCCCATGACTCATCCAGAGAAGAAGATAAAATCATGGAGAAAATCCAGACATTTTACAGTAACTGAGATCTACATCTCATAAATGCATTCACCTCTTTAAAAGTTTGCGTTTTTCAGAAATAATGCCTCATCCCAATCCCCATTTAAAACCATAGAGATTTTTAAAGTGAAAAAGAACTGCATCTCATTGCAGAGAATTTTTTTCCCCATATTCTGAAAAATTATGGCTCCAGGAAAATTGCTGACCTCCCCAAGTAAAATAAGAGTTGTAATTTATTATGGAATGGAATTCTCTCTGTTTAAGCCAGTGTTTCTCAACCTCAGCAACATTAAGATGCAGGGATATCCACTTTGTGGGAGTTAAAATCCACGCGCTTTAAAATAGCTAAGGTTGAGAAACATTGCTTTGAGCTATTCTGCTCCCAAAGGAAGTAGATCAATCTTTAGCCTGAACAAAGCTGGCAGAGTGAAGAAGACAACTTGAATTTAAGGAGTTTGGCTGCCTTATAACTTCCCTCCCCGTCCTCAAATGATTTCTTTCTGCCTTTTTTTGGTAATACATTTTTTATTTTTATTTTATTTTTTAAATTATACATTTATTCTGTGTGTGAACAGAGTTGGTTCTGGGTATCATTCATATTAATCCAATTCACAATAACAATATTTGGAATCTCTATCACATTTCTCAAATTTAAAATTATCCTCATTATATTGTTCAAACATACATATTCAAAAAATGCCTAACTCATCTTTATCTCTACCTTCATCTATATCTTTCTTGTTCTATCTAAACATTTCTCTATTATATATGAACAAATTTACCTCAGTTTCATTTATATTGATCCAATTCACGCTAATATTGTTAATAATCCCTATCACATTTATCAAATTTATATAATCTGACTCAAATGATTTCTTTCTGAAGGAATTATTATTGTAATTTCCTGGCAAAGATGGAAGTAACATCTATGGCCATTTCTGACTCATGTCTCAGACCTTGGGTGCGGTACATTTTGACCCCAATGAGAAGATGCATTTTTGTTATGCCTCAAATGGGTGTCACAGATACTGAAGAGTCACCATATTTTATGTGCATGTGTGTGTGATTGTGTAATCCTTATGCATATAGACAAAAATACCCAGAGAATGTGAATTTGGCAGGATTTCCTTGGAATTAATAAAGTAACTTTATGGTTTTCTCTAGCTCCCAGCCTCAATTTGCCAATTCCTGATTTAATTTCTAACTATAACAGTCGATGTTTTAATTACTTGTCCTCAAACTCCTTAGGGCAAGTTTGTTTACTGATGGAAAAATAATTTTCTT